TTCCACGACATTCTAATTTATTGAGATGCACCTGTAAATAATACACTAATGTATTTAGGCTTCACAACATTATAATGTACAATATGAAAAACTGATGTTCATTTTGAGAGTGGTTAAAATTACACTTAATAGTATTATTAAACTATTAGTGTTTTTAAAGATTAACTTCAAGTAAGTGTTAGATGCTGTTAAAGGTAATCGAAATGAAAAAAAATAGGGGAAATTAGCATGCACAATTATACAATATCAACATTTCCACTACAATTCAAAAGTTTGGGGTCAGTAATTTGTATCTAAAGGAATTATTACTTTTATTAGTATTTTAGCAGAGCCCTTTACATTGTTTAAAAATATAATAATAAAAATATATATTATTTCAAATAAATACTGTTCTACTGGACTTTCTATTCATCAGAGAATCTGGAGAAAAATGCGTCCGTTTCCACAAAAGTATTCAGCAACACAACTGTTTTCAGCACTGATAATTAATAAATGTTTCTTGAGCACCAAATTAGTAAATTAGAATTATTTAATAAGAATTATAATTTTATATATAAGGATTGTGTGACACTGGAGTAATGCCAGCTTTGCCATCACAGGAATAAATAACACTTTAACACTCATATTTTTGAAACAGATATATATGAAATATATATCTACAGATATAATAAATAAAAATAGAAAACTTAACTTCAATTTCAATAAAAATAAATGCAGCCTTGGTGAGCATATTTAAAAAATCTCAAACTTTTTAACTGTAGTGTGTATATGTACAATGTGGATATATATGATAAATTAAAAAAAATTCTAATAACGGCAGATAAACAATATAGTACCAATATACCCTACAGTAAGGAAAGGTGTGAGAAAGGTGAACAAACGAAGGAAGAGAGAATGAAACAGACTGGGGAAAAAATGGTCTGATCACTCGACGAGCACAGAACAGAAAAAAAAGGAAAAGACAGAGGGAGAAAAGGAAGAGGTGGCAGAAAGCGGTACCTCTTCCTGGCGATTGCTGGCGTGCCCCAAGGAGAGGGCAACGAGGTCTCGTGAGTCAGGCAGGGGGGCACCTGCTCGGCACGACTACAACGATTCAACCACACACGGACACGCAGAGTCACGACCAAACAATCAACATAAAAACAGACCAGACATTCCCACAGCCATACAAACACAAACAGCAGGTCCATACCACACACACCCCGTGTGTGCAGCCAGGCAATGCCAGAGGTTACGAGAGACAAAGAAATGAGAAAGAGCAAGAGACGGAGGCAGTTAGTTCCTGTTGAATATACAGCTCAGGGCACAGCACATAGAACTCAGAGGATATACAGATCATGCAAATCTAACACAAACATAAGCCCAAAGCACAGCTACACTCAGATAGCATGTAAAGGCATTTGCATCTCTCTTCTGAAGGTCATGACTAATGAGAACGGTACATTGAAGGAAACTACGCTCTCAGCAGATCAGGGATGTGCATGAAGAATCAACATGTCGAGTACTTATTCTGCACCAACTACTAAGATGTAACATTCTATTCAAACTAGGCAAACCTATTTTCTTTTATGACTTTGCCTGCCATAGAAATCAATGAGAATACTTTCCCGCTGAATCCCTCATTGTTACAAATGAATATTTAGGGTGGCATTCTAGATACGCGTTTATGTTTTGAAAGGAAATGTTGTGTAATTTTAAGTGCATCCAAGTTGCAATTTTTAGAACCTGATTTGTTAATTTGGTTCTTGTTAGAATCATGAATCCCAGCAGATTGGTGGAAAAAAATGCAAAAATAAATTACCCTGGCAGAATGCATTTTCTATTAGGCTCACGTGGGCATTATAAATTGTTTATTTAAATAATAACATAATATAAAAACAGAAAATAAAAATTACAAATGAAATAGTCTTTTTAGAATAGACATGGTTACATGTTAATTCCCCTGATGGCGGTAGTCTAATTTTAAAATTGTTTTCTATGTAAGCTCTGTGTGACCTCAAACACACTTTTAATTTTTAATTACTTTGCTTATTTTTTTTTTTAGCTTCTTCATTTTAATTTTCAAATGTAGTTTTGCACAGTTTTTTCTTAAACCATTGTGTTCATTTATTTTGTTTTAAGAAATAGCATAGTTTGTCAAAGTTATTATTAAACTGTCATTAGTGATGCATTTGAATTAAACAAAATATATACTTTATAGACATCACACGTCAATTTTAATTTTATTTGTTATCTTTATGTGCAAAGAGTACTCGACTATAAAATTACTCTTTTTTTTCCTCAATAAAAGTAAACTGCTGCCTCAATCAAAAGAGGGATTTCATTTCATCTTACTGATATCACATCCAAAACACATTGATCCTTTCTATTCATTAAGAAAAGGCAACTTCATTTAACCACACCTGTCAAATGAGTCTGTGGCCATCTTGTACAGGTAGATGAACAGCTTGCTGCAGTGCTTAAGAGTGGGACAAACGTTTTCTGCAGGTATGATCTCATCCTCCAGTAACCGCTGGAATGGCTGGGCATTAGAGGGGAAGACGGTTGCTGGACCAACTTTCTTAGAATCGGAAAAACATCCCAAAAGTCGCACTGCATCGGCCAGCTTCTCGTACTGGATCTCAGTGCGAAAGAAGTGCGAGTTGGCAGGTTCATAACGCATGGCTGCTGTTAGAGTGCAGAATACGGTATGTAGAAGTTCAAAGATTTTGTTCTGGTTGACCTTCTCCCAGCCGCTGACAGGTGGAGAACAGAGAGAACGCTCCATGGCAACCAACAGTGAG